AAAATTTGTTATAGGATTACTACACACGAATGAGCGACGTGGTTAACCAGAAGTAAACTAAAATTCACCGTCGAGTTCGATCTATTCCAAAGTGCACATGAGGTATCGTTGATGTTTTATATTGGTAAGTAAACAGTATTCACTCTGTAAAGTGAACATGTTGGATGTGTGAGTCTCGAATGAACTGTGTGAAAAGCAGAACTGACAACGTTTGGTGCCTTCTCGGTGTTTCTTCCTCGTCATAAAAGTGATTAGTTTTCAAATTAAATTAAACTATGATGAGAATAGATTCAATACGATCACCGAAAACGTTCAGCACGGTGACTAGGCAAAGGGAAATCATCAAAACGCGGCCCAGCGCGCAATACTCATCAAAAAGATGATGATATGTGTTTATTGATCTGGCGCGGGTGTGATCCATTACGATTTCATGAAACCCGTCTCTTTGATAACTAGCTAGTTCCAATGATTCAAAAACTTTCCGAATCACAGCCTATACTTGCCGATCTATCGAGTCACGTTTGATTCGCTCGACAACACTACGCTATACACCACACAAGTGACAGCGGCAAAACCATAAGAATGGGAATTGGAGGCTGCCTATCGTCCACCACATTCAACTGATCTTGCCGCCACTGATCACTAAGTTTTCCAAAATTTGGGCGACTTTTTATAAAAAGACAATTTAATTACGTCATTGCTATAAAACGCGACTTCCAGAATTTCCTCGAACTGAACAAGCTATTGCTGAAACTGGAAAAAATTTGTTAACAACATGGGTGCAGACTTTGAAAAATAAAACTACTTCTTTCATTCGTTAAACACTAGCAAATTTCGTTTTTCCCCCAAAATTCATATTCGATGACCAAATATATATAAGAGATTACGTTTTGTACAGTAGGTGGGCTAACTCATGAAATGTCAACCGAAATTCCGAAATGCGTCTTCGTTTCGAAGAGATTAATTAAGCAATACTATAAAACTAGTCAGTCTGCAACATAATTCTATAATATTTCAGTTGCCTCAGGATGCCGGTTTTTGAATGAACTTCCTTCCGGCTGCATACAAAAACTATACTCTCTGAAAAACGACTTCATGCGTAACATGCATTTTTCTCATTGATTTTCGATGTCCCTAAAAGTCCAGTTATATTTCATGGCAAACATGCATCAAAATATTCATTCCTTCGCTCATTCCGTAGGCAATCACGTCTTCTTCCGATTGTATACTCAAAGAAGAGGCATAGTTCGGTTTTAACAAAGTTTATAATTGTAAGATTTCTGAATACCGTCAAATGGCAGTTCATAAAACGTCATGTATCTGTATTTACCAATTTGGCATGTAATGTTAACAATATGGATCAAATCCACTGCTAAATTTTATAAATCTATCAAAGTATTCTCTTAATAGTGTAGAGAAATGTATGGTCTTCTATACGCAGAAAATATACGGCTTGTAGTTTGGAAACCCTGAATACAAGTGTAGCGGTAGAGCGGGTTCGAAATTATTCGAGAATTGGAAAAGTTTTTGAAAACCGAATCATACCTTTACTTCGAGTACAAAATAAGAAAAAGGCGTGATTTTCTACCGAATGAGCGAAAGAATGAATATTTTTATTTATTTGTTTCGTACAGTGTAGTTGGATGTCTGAGGGCATCGAAAATCAATGAGTGAAATTCATTCTAGTTAAGGAGTCATTTTTTAGAGTGTAGGTTTTTCACGCAGCCGGAAGGAAGTTCTTTCGAAAGCCGGCATCCTGAAAGAATGTTGCAGGCTGACTATTTTTACAACCCTTCTTCATTAATTTTTTCGAAACGAAAACGCATTTCGGAATTTCGGTTGACTTTTTATGAGCTAGCCCACCTACTGTAGGTCACCTCTTTAAAATGCCATTGCATTTATGATGCACTCACTATCAATGGTGACGTTCTCCTAGCAAAAATGGACAAGCCTAAGTGCTGTCAGGCAAATATTGTCCCGTTAAAGTGTTTCCTTTCGACTCTCTCCGCAATACCGCCTTGGTAACGCCCTCCATTTAAAAACGTATGCGAGAACGGTCAGTGCTTCGGGTTTTTTCATGCATGCTATGCTTTTTCTTCCGTCAAAACTCTCAAATTTATTTGTTAACTTCTCGGATAATTAACTAGTTTGACCAGAATTTCCCTCTTCTAAGTATTCTTAAAAACCAAAACCGTATTCAAGACTGCTCTTCACCTCCAAGGAATAATGCGTCTTAAATGTTAAGAGTCTGTGTTCGGTTTCCCATCCTCCTTCAATTCTTTTGCCTGACGTCACAAACCAAGATGGCAGGGTTTGGACTGAAAAACTGTCGACGTATGCTTTAAGAGGCCTTCGCTCAGACGGCCTTGCCGCATCCTGACGAGGGATTTCAGAGGTCTTCGCAAAAGTCGACGATCGCTCACCCATTTTGCCGATAAAATTTTATTATTTCTAAGAAGTCGAGTCCGACAAGCGGACGCTTTCGACTATTCCTCATCAAGCCTGTACAGTAATATAAGGGGGGACGGAATGGCCGAATAGCCATACGGTAAGCCAACCCAGCCTTGTGCTTGCATAAAGCGTTTATAGAAGCGCTAAGGCTCCCCTGGAAAAAGACAAACCCAGCATATGTGTTCACAAACGCCACATCGTGCTACAGCGATGAAGCAGGGACGGCTAATCGCCGGACACCTTCCCCACCCCTTTCTCTAAGCTCCAGGCAGAACAAGAATCTGAGCACTGACCTGTTAACGCCCCTCAACCCCCTCCCTCATATGGACTTCTATTGGATGTTTAACTTTTGCTATTGTGCCCTCTCTTATATTACAAGCCTGCTAATGAATAATAGAAAGTGTACGTCTGCCAGACTTGACTTCTTAGATGTCTACGTGGGTACCATCGTTGAATGTATTAGTTCTCATGACAGCCTGGCCGTCGAAAGCGACAGTGCCCACTGTGGTTACATGCACGTGGATTAATTCAAGTGGAGCAGACATGAGCAGTATCTACCTTACTCCCTCTCCTCCCTCGCCCGTTTACTTTGATGACAAAGCGATGTTACGGCAACCGAAAGTGGGTTTGTGCGCAATGGTAAATAGAACCAAACCACCTGTCTACGCTTGGCCCACGCGTGTTGCCCCTCCCCCCCGCAATATGTACCGGGCATCTGTGAAGGCAGCTCAGATTTCGCGTGTATGACGCTCATTCTTGAGAAGGACTGGCTTATCCCGTCCGACGGCAATCTACCAAGCCACGACGCTTGTCGTGACGGAAGAAAACTCAAACTCGCCAGACTTACAGTTAGTGACCGATCTCTTGAAATATTGGCTGAAATTCTGAAATGCGTTTCCGATTAGGAAGGATCACTTGGTCGCGGTTCTAATACTGATTATCTTGCGGGATAATCTTATCACATTTCGGACTCGGCACGACGTCAGCTTTTGAATACAGCGCTTTTTATTCTCCTGTAGAAAACACACACGGTAAAAAATGACTACTTAATTAGAATGCTTTTTTCCATTGATTTTCGATGGTCTTTCAAATTCAAATATATCTTATAGAAACCATAAACGAAGAAATGCTTTCTTTTAGTCAATTAAACACGTCTTCTTTACATTTTATACCCAAGGAAGGAATATAATTAGGTTTTAAAAATTTTTCTAATTGCCGAATAATTTGGAGCCTGATCATTCGTTGCATTAACGCCTAGTGATTTCACTCTACAAAGTGCATGCGTTCCGCGTAAAGAAAATCACATATTTTCCTATGCCATTAAAAGATATCACACAGAGTCCATTAAATGTCGCAATAGATGCGGACTATGTTGTACATTTAATGATGAGCTGCGGTAAACGGCCAGGTAAGATGCCATGTAAATGGACATTGCGCGGTCTTAAAAAATCTTTTAATTAGAAACTTTTTTAAAAAACTAATTATACTCTTTGAGTATGTAATATAAAGATGACGTGATTCTTTATCACTTGACTGAAAGCAAACATATCTTTGTTCATGGTTTCTGTAAAGTATATTTGAATTTGAAAGACCATCGAAAATCAATGGGAAAAATGCATGCATCTAAAGTTGTCATTTTTTACCGAGTACGGTTTCTGCGGGAGACTGAAAAGCAGTGTATTCAAAAGCTGACGTCCTGCCGAATCCGGAATGTGATAAGATTATGCCGCAGGGTAATCAGTATTAAAACCGCGATCAAGTGATCCTTCCTTATCGAAAACGCACTTCAGAATTTCAACCAACATTTCATGAGATCTGTCACTCACTGATGATGAGTGAAGAGTGTACTGATATGTTGTGGGAATGAAGTTCCCCGTCGCATGCTTCTGTCACCTGCACAAGTCGGTCAGTCAGCGGGGGATGGAGTTGGGCCCAGTTGCTGAAGCTATGTGAAAACCTGAGCCTAAAGCGTGCCATTTACGACGGTAGTTTTAGGGCCGCGTGGACGCTGTGAAGCCCAGTAAATGTGTATCGAGATCCAATCCAACTTTCGTTTTTGTCTAATACCCCTTCAGAGCAGTCCACTGCAAGAGTCACACTACTCCTCAAGGCATTTCAAGGATAAAATCGAGTGTCCAGACCAAATCTAAGGAATTTTCAGCAGAATCAGGAAATGGAGGCTGACTGTTTGCATTCGCGATCGGATGGCGTGACGAAGTTCGGTGACTTTAAAACGTCCCCTAAAAGTTTTATCTGCATCGGCAGGCAGTAACATTCACTCGGAACGCCATGGAAAATTTGGGCTGATCTTGCAAAGTGCTCTTTTGAACAGGTCTTAGAAGAAATGGTAAATAATGTTCCCAAATCAGAAAATTACTATGAAAGCAGGCATTAGACCTTACATGCGGTTTCGGAAAGTTTACATTCAGTGACTTCCTGGGCTACCGCCTGTTGAGTTCCAGTAACTTTGGTTCACTATATCCGAACGAATTTAGCGTTAAGTCCCACATGTGTCTCATTAAAGCGTAAACCACGGCCATCTTCCAGGTATGCCCTTACTCCGCTTAGAGAAAGTTAATATTGGCTCGGTGTTTAACCACACAATTCGTTCCCAAACTCATTCACTTGCTCCTGTGGAGCGGGATACACTGGCCGTAAAACGAGGCACAGAAGTCATGGAACAGACAGGAGTTCCCAGCATCCAGACTATACTGAGGAAACTTCAGTTGCGCTGGAACGGCTACCTCGAGATGGCAAATGACGAGCGTCTACTAAAACGACTCTTCTACAGAAACGCTACTACGGGTGATCGTCGACAAAGGGGAGAGACGATACATTGTAAGGACACCTTACTGACCTCCCTCAAGGAATTCAAGTCAATCCGGACACCTGAAATGATCTCACCCAGGATAGACCGGTCTGGAGAAGAACAGGGAAGACTGGAGCATCCGTTTACAAAGTCAGTCGAATCTCCTCCGCCAAAGCCAAAGGAACGGCTCATAAACTCCGCGAACCCACAACCCAAAATTCCCACCAATTCTAACGTGTCCACAACGTCGTCAGACATTCCGCGCGCGGACCGATCTCGCCGGACATCTCCGGGCTCAATACCACAGTAGTACGAAAACTTCACCTACTGCTTCCTCTACCTTTTCCATCGTGAACCCCTGTTGCAATCGCCGCAACAACCATCACTACTGTCGAGCAAAGTCCTGGCCCTTCACCGCCGACGGCGCGGACGAATACCACTCCTCCCAGAGCCACCACCGGTGAGAACACTTCCCAGAAACTACCGTCCCCACCACCACCGACTTCACCACCAGCAGTGCGGACTCATTTCAAATCTATCCTCAGTTTGGTCGCGCCTTCACGTCACGCCTAGATCTGATCGGCCACTTGAGAATCCATCGTACTGAAACCAGCGAACTGGTGCCAGAAACCCCAACATACACCCGGCGCACCCTCCCTAGCTATCTGCAATGACCACGCAAGTCCAGTCACCGCATGAGTATCCATGCTAGTCTAGGCTAAACCGTCAAAGAGCATACCCCAGCATTCCACTTATTCCGTCCGTCACATAAATCACACACGACTCCGTTCCACATTACCCACCATAGGCACGAAACAGGTGGAAATTGCGTTCTCTGGCTGCTTCTTTAATGCAGCCCCCCTAGCACTCTACCGCATTTCGTGTGGAAAACCGGTGTGTTGTTCGTGGGTCAGGTAGTGTTTGGCACGCACAGACGGGCTGCTTTAGCCCTGGCAGTCACTGTGTCCAATCACAGCATCAGATGGCTGACAGGCTCGGACAGTCTGACATGCCTGAATCTATCACAGTTAGCTAAGAACCGTGACTTGGAGGGCTGCCAACTGACGGGGCAACTAAGTCCTCCTTCTCTAAGGACGGAGAGTCTGCTTTCAATGACTCATTGCTAATGTGACTTCTGTGGCATTCCCATCCAGCTGGGGACCGGGATCCCTTGCTGTTTGTGCGAGAAGCTGGCCCGTGTGTGGCACGCGTAGATAAACTGTCTGGACCGGTCAGTTGCTGCGCCGACCCCGCCCCCCGTTTTCTTGACTCCGTCTTGACACCAGGCTCAGGTGGAGGAGGAGGAGGATGGCGTACGGTAGATACAGCGCAAGTCCACATTCACTATAAACTAATTCACGCGCAAGGCCCCGTTCCTGCACCCTCCCTGCTGTGGAGCACACGGTGAGCATCGTCGGCAACGTCGACCGAATTGTCGTTTGTGCTGGAGAGTTTTGTTTTGGACTGTATTTCTGTGCTTGAATAGCCTTCCAAATGCTGGAGTTTGTGTTACTCAGAAATTCACCGGAAAGCGATTAGTTAGGCTGAACATGAGCAGGGGACAGTCAGCCTTGGACGAAAGCCTGTGAGAACTGTCAGAAATAATAAAAAATGATAGCAGGAATTACGGTCAGAGAGAAGAGTTTATAAACAGAGTAAAAATTGACACCATCCGTAGACGCAAAAAAACATATATAGTGGTTAACCGTGGTAGAGAGTGATTACCGATCATATTACAAGATATATTCGTCCCGTTGTGTTTTGGGGCTCGATATGCGACGTCCTAAGCAGTCGCGCAACAACTTGTAATACATGCAGAGGGAGGCTACTAGCTGGCTCTATCCAGTCTGGGACCGGAATCCGCGATCTTTTGGTTATTAATCCGGAGCTTTAACCTCTGAGCGGTCCATGAGCGCTGTCTACCATAGTTAGTATGCCGGATCATAACCGACAAGACAACGAGCCCGTGACTAAGTGGTCGGAGCGGGTGCCTCTAAACCAGAGGTTGGATAAGGCCGACTAATAAGCTAGAAATGGTCATCCTAGTCTCCCTCGTCAGGCAGCGGTGGGTTGTGTAACCCCACCTCTCAACTAAATTTAGTATTCTTATTATTTTTTATGAGAGGGACTATGGAAAAGTATTTTTAAAAAGCTAAGTTGGCAAACACGTGTTTTCGGCAATTCTTCGTCAGGCCCGTACATTTACATGGAGGACTAAAAATGTACAAAATTATCAATGTTTATAGATGTCTCAAGGGTTATTAAGGCATTAACACTCATCTGCCCCACATCACCCACATGACGAGGTCTGCGGGGTTTGAACGTCAGGGCTAGGGGAGGGGGAAGAGAGTCTTTGAGTGATGTTTTTGGATTGAGTACACGGAGTACCCATCGCTGTAATTAGGGATTTGTGGCGGCATACTGTCATAACCTGAGATTGGCGTTGGCTACGGAAGAGAGAGCGCTTGTGTCAGCGTTTTCTGACAGCGTAGCACTGAATTCGCTAGCCGTCTAGCTACTGCCTCGGCCGTTGCTATCATCCGTTGCTGTAGGCCTCCAGAGAAGCTTGTTGCTGTCCGGTAGACAATACGAAATGCGTCCTTGGCATCGACTGGGTGTTTCATATCCACTAAATGAGTGAGAATGAAACTCGAAATCGGTCGGGTCTCACCTCTATCTAGCCAGGCCGGCATATGCTCACGCACCTTCTTTACCAGGCATCTTGTTGTTCAGCCAATGTATCCCGCTCCACAGGAGCAAATGAATGAGTAGATGCACATTGATGTGGCCACCAACGGTAGTCTGTCTTTGCCTCCCAAAAGTAGGAGGGGAGAGTTTGTGAAGCATACGCGTAAATTCGCCGCGGGGAATGCTCTCGTGGAAGCTGTAGTTAAGGGTCGTCTGACTAGAGCGCTCATTCCGTCTACTGTTAGAGGTAGTCTTGTGAACAAATCTTTCCTTTCTGCAGTCCCAACAGCGAGCTGTGCAGTGCCTTCCCCAATATTTCGGAGGATAAATCTATCTGGGTATCCGTTCACGCGAAGTGTGAGTCATAGCTGTTGGAGCTCTGCTTCAATAGTTTCAGGCGAGCAGATGCACCTCACTCTAGCTGCCAATCCCTGGACAAAATTTAGGTTGATGTTTAGGGGAACAAACCTGTGAAAATTAATGTATCGTCCCGTCTAGATTTTCTTTCGGAACCCCCTGTGCTGGACAGATCCATCCTATTGCCTGTGTAAGAGGACACTAAGAAACACAATTTCGCTACCCGCCTCGGACTCTGCAGTGCACTTTAGCGAGGGGCGCGCACTGCTGGATTTTTGTACAAGGTCCTCGGTATCGGTGGTACCATCCACCAGGCAGAAGATAACGTCCACGTACCGACCGTGGAAGACGAGGTCATTAATGGTGTCTCGTAATCTTGTTTTCTCGACTTTGCCCAAAAAAACATTTGCAGGGAACGGTCCAAGCGGTGAGCCCATTGCCACGCCATCTATCTGTCTGTATAATTGACCACTACACAGAAATTGGGCATCTTGTCCGCAACGCGTCAGTAGTTCTTTTAGTATTTTCACAGACATGTCTATTGGGTAGTTCGTATCACAAATAACATCACAAAGGTAGTTTACTGTTTCTGACATGGGTACGTTGGCAAATAGCGATGATACATCCAGTGATACCATCCTCCGTGCGCTATCGTTAATATATATTGATGGCGTCGACGAACTCAAATGAGTCTTTAAAACTTCGAGGGTACAGATAACTTTGCAGTGTCATTCGTTTTAAAAAAATAAGTCAGGCGTACGCGTTTGACAACAGAAACCGTTCATTGGTATCGAGGGAACAGAGCGTTTGTGTTCTAACCGAGGCGAAATAGACCAAAACGCAGTTGGCGATCCTTGAACAAGCGTAGTATGGTGAGTAACGATACGACGCAAAAAGGTTTAACAACTCTTCCAGAAGAAAGAAGTAGGTCATGCCGTACGGAGTCGACAATAAGAGACAACGTAAGTACATTGGGCTAA